CTATCCCAGTTATAGCTCTTGGGCATTTAAATGAAGCAATTTATATTTTGAATACGCTTTTCTTCATGGAATACGCTCAGGAGCTCAGGCAGATGAACTACACCAATTATAGTCTATCTGATCCTCAAGTGCAGAATTCCAAACATGTATTCGTTTGTTATGTACTTGAAAGACTTTTTACTCAACCTTTGCACGAAACAGTTCATGATAATCAAAGAGAGCAACATTGTTGGACTTACTCATATTATTAACCATGTTACTTCAATATTTGAAGCAATTCCGGATATACAAGAGAAAAAGATTAAATAAAATTGTTTGTATTGAATAAATTACAGTCTTATTGCAAATGATTAACTATAGTTACTACATTTTAATACGCATATAGAAAGGATTAATTTCAACATTAGAAATCCCGCCATTGGACATAACTTATAGTTCAAATGCATTTATGCAGCAAAAAATACATAATATCGAACATCTTAGGCAGACTAGAAGTGCCGCCACGCCCAAACTTTGATATCATTGTCTCAGACTTTACTATGAAAATCTAGTCCTATAGGTGACAGTAAAAGTCTACCCAATGATCGCCTTGTTTGCTTCACCCCAAAAATAATATTTGCGATTTCACCGACAAAAGATAAAATACCAAATATGACGAATGAAGAAGTACTACTAGCATAACCTAATTATTGATAACAGTTTGAATTTCCTATTTATTCAAAATTGGTAAAATTACGATATCAAATAAGATCGATTAAGTGATATAGTATACTTGAATTATGATAACTATGTTTCATATCCATAGTAGATTACCATCACTGACTATTTTTTGATAGGATCAAAATTTTCAAATAATGAAAATATATAATATATTCTATGTCAACATATGTTTTGTCTGCTAGTTCAGGATGAGTATGTTCTTTCGTTGCATATGTTGCATCTGCTCTGTCATGTTCTTCTTGAACTTTTTCAATGACATACTCTTTGTCAGCTTTGTTGTCAATATCTGCCTTCAAAAGAAGTTCATCTATAGGTTTCTCGTTTAAAGTTCTTTTTGTTGGATTTATACAAACAGTATGGTTCTTACTGTCTTGAAACAGAAACTCATCTGTCATTGGGTTTATCGTCAGTTTTAAGTTTCCTTCTTTCAATGACTCAGATATCTTAGAATAGTTTGAAAAGTTTGTTGTGTTCTTATTTAGAGCTTGCAAAATGAGTTGTCGGTTGTGTTGTATTTCTCTCATAGACGCTGTTTCTTTCGACATTTTTATTCTAGATAAAATATGCTTTCAATAGAAAAAGAAAATTCAAGAGTTGCTACAACTAAACCATTAGATGAACTTTTTACTAATGTCGGTCAAAAGTTTGAGACAGAGACCGTAAAGCATGAAGGCTATCGTTTTGACTACCCATTAAGATGGCTAAGAGACCCATCTGTCACAAAAGCTATTGGCTTTCGTAGAATGAAGTTTGTGTCTGTAGAAGATAAAAGTTTTCCATTTATTGTAAGGTTTCATATAGATTATATATCTGAAGGGAAACGAAAAATGTGGGAAGAAATTGAGCTAATACAAGTTGACCTTTCATCTTCTCTACAGACTGCGTTAAAAAATATAGAAGATAAAATAAATTCATGTTATGCAAAATATGCTGATGAATATGCAAATACCGAGAGCACACTTTATGTGAGAATTGTATATGACAAACAAAATTCACAAGTGTCATTTCAAATCTACGAAGACAATCCAAAGAAAGACGAACAAATATATACAGAATTCACTGCAATGTCATGGTATTATTTGCAAAGAATGTTAAATCAGAAAGTCGAACTTCCTTTAGCAAATATTTACAGTCGATATGCAAGAGATGAACCATATTTATTTAAAGATGTTTTCGACTCAGATGCTATTATCGTTCATGCTTCATTTTCTGGTGCGCAAAACTCTTTTTTATGCTTGGCAAATGACTTTTACGAAAAACCTACAAAGTATATGAACCACCGTGGAAGTATTTCAGACTTTCAAGTATGGTTTACAACAGATGGAAGAAAGAGAATAATTCCATTATACCATGCGTTTTACTTAGAACTTAGTTTCATATACAACTACTATCGAACGGTAAAAATATAATTTTTTAATACGGTTGAGGTGTTGGATTTGGTTGCCAACTTGACTGTGGTGCAGGTTCAGGCTGTTGTATAACAGGAGCTTGTTCTTCTGGTTCAGGGTCTTTAGGTATAATACCAACAAACTGACCTACTCTTTTACCAATATTTTTGACTCCGTTCCAAATTCCTCTTCCTACGGTTTTTATTCCATTCCATATACCTCTTCCAACATTTCGAAAGAAGTTTCCTATTCTTCCAAAGAAACCCATTTACTACGTGTAAAAATCTAATGTCCGCCTAGTCTCTTACGTTTCCTGTTGAGTTCCATAGCATTCTTTAACTGGAGCTCATACATTCTGTTTCTCCTCTGGTAGAAAACATATTCTGGGTCAACTCCTGTGTTCGCGTCATCTGCATAAAGTTGTTTATATCCCACTTCAGGGTTTGTATAAAACTCTTTCCATCTCATATTTGCATACCATGGTGGCAAACCTAACGCAGCGTCATTTGACATGGCAGTTTGCATTTGTACATCTGTTGGCACTTGACCATAGTTTGCCATTGCAGTTTGTATTCTAACTTCATTTGGAATATTCTCTGGGTTTGGTTGTCCAGGTTGCTGTGCATTCGCTAAGTTCTGTGCGTCCATTTAATATTAGATAAAAATATCTCTTACGAGTACATATACTGAACATTTGCAGGCATTGGTTCATCTTCATATTCTCTGTACTTTTCTGCCACGTCAAATAAATAAATGACACAATGGAAAAAACCTAAAACAAGTAGTCCTATTTCAAACCACATTTACTTACTAGTAAAATTTCTTTGTTATGACACTTTCTCCAGTTTATAGGACCTCTCTCATATTCTATCTTATCGTATCTAAACTCATAGTCATGTATGTCCTCTAACCATCTCATGACACTTTCCAAACCACTTTTATCGGATGTAAAGTAAAAGCATGGATGGTTATGTAAAACGTCTAAAGTTTCTAAAGAGTCTCTCAAAGTCCAGTCTACTTGGTATTGAAAATCCCATGTGTTATAGAACGGCGGGTCCACTATAAAGAAAACATTTTCCTTGTCTTTATATTTTTCATACAACTCTGTCCAATGACATCTCACAAACTCTATACCCTCAATATATTTTTCTATGTTCTCTTTGAAAACATTTGTATAGTTAAGATATAAAACTTTTGACATAAGTGTTTCAATGTCATGAACTCTTATAGCACCACTATATAATAGTCTAGCAGATATACTATCCCAGTCAATATACTCTGCCTTTTTCAAAACCTCTCTGACAGTATTTTTCTTATCTAATGGTATACGTTCCATCTTACCTATAGGTATCTTTTCTTTCAACTCACTCAATATTTTGTTTGTGTCTGGTATATGTTTGAGACGGTTCATATAGTTGTCGAAGTCATTGCATATAATCTTTGAGTCTGGGAATATTGTATGGCACAGATGGGATATATAGAAACTTCCACCGAACAAATCTACAAATGTTAGACCATTCGGTAGTTTCTTAAGTTCTCTCAATAGAATATCTTTACATCTACTCTTATTTCCAAAGAAGGGTAACGGTGGTTTTGTAAAATTCATTTTATATACAATAAAAATGTTTTTTTCCTGAAAAGTGACAGAAAAGTGACAAAACATTTACGAAGAAATCTTGAAAATTCAAGAGGGTAGAAAAGAGGTTAGAAAAGAGGTTATATCTAACCTTCTACCCTAAACATTATTTTTGTCTGATTTTACGAAGAAGTCTTGACAAAACATGAAAACATATATAATTTGTGAAAAGCTCCTGGAAGACCCGTATATAAGAACTTCATTTATACTAAACATCTTCAGGGCTAGAAGGCACGAAGTGCCTGGAAGCCCCACTACCTTTTTTTTTTTTTTTTTTTTTTTTTTTTTTTTTTTTTTTTTTTTTTTTTTTTTTTTTTTTTTTTTTTTGAATATACTAGTTTGGGTGGTATAATTTTTTTCGATAAATTTGAGAGCATGTACGTTTAGGACATCAAAAGTGTCAATTCGCTCAGCGAAAGCTGAGCTAGCTTCGTTCTCGAAAGAATAAGGAAAGAGTGAAAGAGAGTGATACAGATGTTGACACATTCATATCATTTCAACAAATTTTGATCAAATTGAAATGCAATGAAATTCAATTCACTTCATATCCTTCAGTCAGTACATTGACATCCTTCTAAATCACAATGATAACTCGTGCATCAATAGTTCTACAACTAACTCAGAAAAAACAAGATTTTTCCTTCCAGCTTACAGCTTTTAAAAAGTTTCGATGATTAAAATCACTCTACTCTTGTTTATCCATATGTTGTGATAGTAGGTAAACGTATTCTTATCGATATTAATAAAAATATTTTTACGAAAATCTGAACCAATTACAGAGTTATTCATAAAGTTTATGATAACTGTAATTACTTCATCTTTGTTTTATATTTGAATAAACAATTTAATTTAATTTGCATAATTTTTTTTAGTTGAAAGACAGGAAACTTAGTTGAGTTTGTATTATTTTTATCGTTCAATTCATTGTATATGTGAGTGATCCAGATATTTAAGATATTTAGAAAAAATTTATTAATTTGATGTACTGGATTTCGGAAAGCATCAATTCAGAGATATACTCGAACCCTAGTCATGAATCTTTAATTAGTTTGGCGCATCTTCATCAAAATTTGTCGGAACCTTTTAAGCAAGTTTATATTCGATCAAAATCATTGAGTACAATAGACTTTACAACAGTTAGTCTGCCAGGAATGTGCATTGATGGGATATATTTTTCAACCGAAAATAAGATTTTGGTAAATTTTGAAGATGAAGGTCAACATTTCTTTAATTACATTAAAGGCTCTGACAAATGCATGATCTTTGCAGCTAATGGGAATCAATCAATACATGCTAAACTTGAAACTCCAAATTTTGATTCTACAATAAACATTTATCGTAATTTTACAGATTACACAGTATTAAATACAAATGATACAATCAATGTATCCCAGTCAGATTCAAATTCAAGCATTTTTGTAAGACTTTTAATTGATAACTTAACAACTCCAAACAAACTAGAGATATTTTTCAACTCAGACGCAGATAATTACTACGAACAACGAAATGACTTTCAATTACCTCAATATGATAGTCAAATATGCGAATTTGGAAAATTATCAAGTAAAAAGTTAGGAATTGCCCTTCTAATTATTATCTCAATATTAGTTATATGCAATCTTTACATGTGCAGCCTTATTTGTAAAAGTAAAAAAGCAGAGGAGGAATTCATTGATTTAGATGATGTAAATGAGTCTTCTATTGTTTCTATCACACAAGTATCAACAAATTCCAAGTTTACTCTTTCAAGATTCTCAAATAATGACTTAATCTTCTTCCCTCAATAAATTTTTCATTTCTTTTGTATGTATATTAGTAAACGTGTTTGTATTTAGTATGGTAACTCAAATTCTTTTTGCTTGATTCTAGATTTGATAAAAACAAATAGAAAATCACATTGAATTATGAATTGAAATATATTTGTAGCACATAATGAAAATTCGATACTCTTTTTGTGTAGTAAAATATCATAAAAGCCATCCAATATACAAAACAGGTTAAAAATCGAAATAAAAAACATATACTTTAAAATGTATAAATTGGTTTTGTGACTCCTGCCTAATAAAATAACTTGTGGTAAAAAAGACATTGAGTTTGTCCATTTTGAAAAGGTTGAAAATAAATTTCCCCATTCGTTGATGGGTTCTGTAAAAATGGTAAGGATTATAGAAATTGCAATAATGATTTCAATCATTAACGTATCTCTTTTACGATCAATTGCTGATGGATAAACAAAATTTGTAAAAATAATTGCGATAATAGCTGTACTTGCATTAAAAATCATGACAAAGCAATATATCAAATCCAACGAAATCGATGAGTTGTAATTAAAACTTGTCAATAAAACAATTATGTTTAAATATTGACTTCGAATAGAAATTCCTTCAGAGGTCTTTTTGATTAAAACCATATAAAGCAAAATCCCATTTGCAATGATGCGAAACGTGCTTGCCAAAACCCAAAGTAATGAATGATTGAAATCCATACAATTTTTTTTAATTTTTTTTTGTAACGCTTTTGCATGGAGGAAGAATCCAAAGAGAATTTGTTAATTACTAATATGCCTAACAACAATCTTGAGACTGAGAAAAATTTAGGGAATCTAAGCAAGGACAACATAGATATTAACGAAAATGAAATTTTAATATCGGAAACAAATGAAAAGGAAGCTGAAATCAAAACAATCTTGACAGACATAATGGATAATAATGATAATGAGATAAAGCAAGTTAAATCAGAAATTGAGCAATTTCAAATTCAAGAACCAAAGGATATCATTGAAAATCCAGCGGGAAAAAACAAAAGCGGTACTATCATGTCAACAATTTCAGAAAAATTTAGTGATCCAGAAACTAAATCCTCTCATGAGAGGAAGAAACGCAAGAAAATAATAAAGCAAACGCGATCATCGTCAGCATCAGAGGAACCAGAGCCTTCTAATATTTCTGATAACAAATTATCTCATAAAATTAATCAGATTCCAGCTGAAGATATCGAAATAAATAAAAATCGAAAATCAACCGGATTTCAGCCTACACCACCTTCTGAGAGCTCAAAGAGTGTACATAGACCTTGTCCCATTATTTCATCCCCAGAATCGCCAAAGTCAATTCAAAATAATGAACCAGAACAGGAAAATGATCAACAATCTGTGCCATTAACAGACGAAGAATTAGAACATTACCGTCAAATGGCATTTCAGCAGCAGCCGATACGCAATTTAACAGACGAACAGTATAATTACATCATTAACTCTCTAATACAGGAGAGAAACGAAGCAGCAGCCGAACACAAATTTACTGTCTCAGATAGAATAAACTCTGCACAAGATTTTGTTCAAAAATGCCTCCTTGATAAACAAAAAGCAGAAGCACAAAATGAAGCCATTAATCAGTACAAGCAACAGCTCAAAGAAGTTAATGACGAAATTTCTCAATACGACCAAGAAACAGACAGATTGATCAAAGAGCTGCTTGAGAGTCAGCAGAAGGCAAGAGAAAGACTGGAGAATACCCACAACGACCAACTCGATAAACATGCTGAGGAATGGACTTCAGAAAAGAAACAAAGACAGTATAACAGGGCATCACACGGACTGATTAATCTGAGGAAGCAATTTAAGAGATTGATGCAGCAGAACAGATTTAAAGAGGCTGGAGATGTCCAATCAATTATTACAAAGGCTGAGGAGAAGGAAAAGTATGAAGCCCACCTCTCCATGCAAAGGGACTATGATAACTCATTACGGATGCTCCAAACCAGACAAAAAGGTGAAAAACAATTTTTCGAACAACAATCTTTAATTCACTTGGCACAACTAAAGCAGAAAAGAGAGCGCCGCCGTGTTGCTTTAGTTAATAAGCAGAAGAAAGTAGAACAAATTGGTCTTTTTGCAAATGATGCAGAAAAAGTTTGGGGAAAAGTCCAAAATCAGAGAAAAGACGAAAACCTTTCAGCATCAGGACCGATTTTGTCCAGAAATGGATCTATTATATCCCCTAGAACTGCAACAATAAAAGCACAGGATTCTAGAGAAGATGCGACCATACCTTTACCACCTCTCGATGTCAGACGATCATTAAGAGGTCAGGCACTTGTATCGTCTCACTCAGCAAGAATTTAATTGTATTATAAACTGTTGTTCAAAAAAATGAATTGAAATTATTTTTATAAGTAGTGCGCCCACGCCCAATATTAGCGCTTCATTCAGAAAAATACTTAGGCCTAATCATGCATTTGTCGATAAATGTTATTCGCATCTCTATTATCAAAGTCAAATTCTAAATTAGATTTTGGCAAATCATATACAATATTCACTTTCCTAATTAAGGATGTAACATTTAGCAGTATTGTGTGCATGACACAATATAGTATGGATTCGATTTCAGTTATATCATATTCATAATTTAAGTCTTGTAATCTTAATAATAAAACGCACTCATGGTAATTATTTTAATTAAAAATATAATCATTCCTTTGCGCAGATTCTAAATTCCAGATTTGAGAAAATTGATCAGAATTTTCTTTGATTTTGTGGAAGTTATCAAGCTCATTTTCAATCAATGTTATGTATACTACAAATTAATGGTTTAAAATCTGTATCATTAACAAAACAATCCCCGATTTCCAAAATGAAAATGTGATGCATTCAAATATAGCGTGCTCCCCAGAATTTTTTTCCTATATCTACAGTGACCTAAAAAATTCGTTAGTGGCCAGAATACTCGGTAGTAGAAAAGTGACAGTCCCTCAATTTTTTCATACGTTAGCACCCAGACTTCATTAAATCTCAGTGAATTGTGGGTCCAAGCTTGAAAAACCTTCAAATAACAGACAAGGAAGGCTAAGCAACTTATAAAATGCAAAAATACGATATTTTTATTCCTAATTAAACAATTGTTTATTTTGCAAAACCAAAGAGTCATATTTTACGATTTGTATGACATCCTCGGCATGTACTCTCTTTGTTTGTTTGCATTTGATTGCGATACTCTCGAGTTTCGCTCTTCGAGCACCACATACCAAATTCGCCATACCCGCTGAAATCTTCACTCCAACTTCAACAGCATCGATATTTGTCCCTACTGATACAGTAAAATCCCGATGTTATTGAAGTTGGAGTGAAGATTTCAAGCAGGTCGGAAATTTGAGCACTTCCAAAGCCCTTACTGCAGGTAGACAATCCTGGAAGATGATAGTTTCTATCTGTGTGGCGGAAGGCTGAGTTAGAGACACCTACTACCACTGGAAAGCCTATCTCGGCCCCATTTGGGATATGGCAACCGTGGTCAGCGATGAAATTTCATTCAATTTTTTTGACATCATTATAAGTTTTTTAGAATCTACATAGTTAGTAGGTTCTATTTTTACACTCAAATTAAACTAGATAGTGCGATCGTGGATTTGAGGGGAAAATAATCGTACTACCGAGTTTTTCCCCGTACTATCGAGTTTTTTCGGTACTTGTAATATCTACATCAGATATCACTTTTAAAAAACATAAAGAGAAAGCTAAAATATATATATATATAAGGTAGTCACAAAATCTAAGTAGAAGGGCTTTGAAATATTTAGGGGATTTGAAATTTTGGCTCTCAAAATTTACCCTTCCTCACTACTCGAATTCCGAGCCTCTCAATGAGTTTCCTCTCAAATTTGAATGGTTTATATTGACTTTTGAATATCTTTATTGAGAACAAAAAAATAAATATATTAATAATCGTATAATATTGGCATTTTTCACAAAATGAAGGCCTAAAAAAGGGGGCCATTCAAAAAATGAATTGTTTTGGGGAGTAGTAGATCTAGTATCTGTATAACAAATCATAAAGATTGGCCATAAAAATTAGGCCTAATCTCTTTTTGGTAAAATTTTGGAAATTGATCTCTCTTCATATTAGTCCGTGGTGAGGTACAGATAACAAGATGATGGAATAAATGTTTTTGACATATTCACTTTTTATCATAATAGCCGAAATTAAGTATATTGTTGATAATTTTTTGTTTTGTACCTTATTTTAGGGACATTACTATTTATTCATCTTTGTATCATTTTTCTGGAGCTAGTATTGAAAAACATGCAATGAAATCCATGTTTTCATTTGAAATCTGATAATGTTAAACGTGCATATAAGTTTCTCGCTGATATCACTTAATTGTAAATTAATGTATATGTAATTCAATTAATTAAGAAAAATTTCGGATTGTCCAAATTGAAGGATATAATTTTTTTTCTTTAGCCTATTAATCAATGCATTATATTGTATTCATTGTCTAATAAGTAGTTACACCTAATATTAGGATATAACACTCTTGCTGCTTACAGATACAAATTTTGATATGATTATTTTGTTTAAAGCTATTATGCTTATAGTGATCACTTATTTAACATGTTGTATAACGTATCTATATTACTATTATTGTATTTCATGCATCTTTTTTCATGAATAAAATTTTATTGAAAAAATTCCAACTTTTCATTAATGTAAGTTGCCATCTGTGATGTTTCCTATTCTGTTACAACTATTAAAGTTTACATTAAAATTTGTATTCAAAATTTCAAAATTTTTCAAATTGATCAATACCATGATTTTAATAATATATATTTGTTTGTGCTTTTAAATTTCTTAAGCTTTCAAAATTTAAGAGAATTGATAACTTCATACAATATGATTATAATTATATGCTAATTAATAATTCTCAAAATGAAAAACAGTCTTCTCAAAACTAAATTCAATGTCTTTCAATCGAGATTTTGAGGCAACTTTATATATGTATATATTTTTTTTTCATATATCTCTTGAAAACTAGGCAGTCTTTACTGTTTAGAGTTTTTTACATATATTTTTTCTTTATAAATGCTTTGCTTCCCCATTCATGATGATAAATCCACGAATTCATGAACCTTTAATATACAATATTGACAATAAACAAATATATGATGTTACCGATTTAGACAACACGGAAATTATTGACAATTATACGATATATCCTGACTACAAATGGGTCAATAACATCCTAGCTTCTCATACAACTTCTCACATCGGACATAATTTTTGCCAAGAATGCACAATTCTGCAACATGTATTATACTACCATTTTAAAAATGTAAATTTTGCTACAATAGGTGTTAATATTAATGGAAAACTTGCACATTTAACAGGATCAAATTGTGGATTTCCAGAATTCAATCCTAAGGTTCATTCATTGCAAGTATACAAGAAAGTAGCTATTGGATTTACGTATCATGGCTCCTTTGGCCATTTCATAAACGACATGGTTTGTGGATTGATCGCATTACCTTCAAACATCACTTTGGATGCTGAAATTTTCATTAAATACGACATCGCTGATGCCAAGCGTTTTCTTGGACACCTTGGATTCGATAGTACTAGAGTGCACGAACTTACTGATGACTACATATATGCAAAGGATGCTTACATTGCCTGCTCAAAAGCTGGATGGAATGCATTGCAAATTGCATGGGCAGATTTAAGAAGTATTTTTTATCGCCGTTTTAATCTTGACAAAATTGAGCCTATGCAGCATTCAGTATATAACAAATTGGAAGGAACATGGGAACATGTTTCTAATATCGACTTCTTACTCAACTGGTCTAGAACTACCTATCCTCAATATAATTGGATATTGTACGATTATTGGACCTCGAGAAATTTCACATTTTTGGCAAAAGTCGTTGCTAGTTCAAAAATTCTTATGATTGGCGCAGGATCTTTTGTCTTCAATGATATATTTTTGCATAAAGGATGCGGTTGCTATATATTTGGAAACACTTGCAATGATCAAAATGTTTATTTCTCTGGATTAACATTGCAATTATATGTTGTATATGTTGCAAGCCCTCATTTCAGATGGCATTTGGTACAGCCATCAGAATTTGATGTTAATCTTTACAAAGAAACTATAGCTGATCTGATATGCGCTGTGTATAAGGGAGAATGGCCAAAAGACGTGTCTAAAAGGTTTAGAATACCATTTAATTCGGAAGAAGTTTATAATAAATACATAGGAATGTTTAATGGGACGACTAATTTGCAAATAACTCGTAAGAAAATGATATATTATTGAACATATTTTGTTTGTTTTCTATATAAAATTTTTTGTGCAGTTGATGCTCTTTCACTAAGGTTCAATCTTGAATTTCATCTTTCAATTTGTAAGAGTAACTATATTTAGTATAATGAATTTTTGTTATTATATTCTCTATTGTCAATTGAAAACTCTCCAAAGCGCCGCTTGTCGATACATAAAAAGAATCCCATATAAATTACATGCATGCCTAAACAATATCTTTTATATTAACAACATAAATAACAATAATAAATTACAGTTCTTCGAGTTTGTTCTCATTATCTTCTATCTCTTTGTTAACCTTTCTCAAAAATTGTCTAAAATCTGTAATATTAATTTTGAAATTTGAAGTATCTGTTACTGAATAATATCTGTAGAACTTTTGACCAATTAGCTGTGTATTTGACCAAATAGACATATGTGCGAAAGAAGGAACTTCCTTAAAAGAAGATTGATCTGGATAAAGTCCGTTTGACTTCACTGGCATTATCTCAACTACAACAGTTTTGGTGTTTGCATAGAACTGGTTATAAAGAGCGCCTCCATGAGGGCCAATGATCAGTTTCGCTTTGGAAAATAACTCAATTGTTTGTTCTAAGTTATATCTTTTGTGGTCAAACGTTATTAGTTTGGATCCATACATCTTTTTAAGCATTTTATGTACAGCTTCTTCGTTCAAAATGAATCTTTGGTTATAATATGATGTAGTTTTCTTTCTTTGGCAGTATATTACGTATTCTACATCGTTCTCTGGTATATTTAACATCTCCCTAAGATCCTTAAAGAATACAGGGTGAACCATTGGACATGATTCTATGTAAATTAGCTGATCTGCGGACAGAATGCTGCCCTGTGACGTTTTTATGATTCGGTCAAATGGTAATCGTTCCCATAGAGTATCGACAACTGGGAATAAATTACTCGTTTCAACAGCAACAGGGTAATTTATTGTATCTTCGCCAAGAATATGGCGAATCATGCTGATCTGAGGGCCAATGTTGTCGAAGAAATGTTGAAAATAGTAACCCCAATGTCCAATTAAAACAATCAATTGATTATAATCAGTATTTGATGATTTTTTTGGAGGGAAAATGGCATTTTTGAAATGTGTTTGATTAGTAAGATGTGGAAATGGATTGCTAACGATTCCATTGACGACTATTCTAACTACGCCGCAATGATTTGAACTATTTGTGTCTTTAAAATGGCGCCAATTTTCGGGTTGACTCCAAAAGAGTTTCTCTGTTTCTTTTGTAAGGCCATTTGGCTTTGACCAATTGAATGGAGGAAAACAAATTCTGTATTGACGCCAATAATCATTATCAGTGATCGTTACATTTCCAGCATATTTGACTTTCGGAAAAAGATTGTCATGGTTCAGATTAAATTTAGAATAATGATAAGTTAAAAACGTCAACATTTAAAAATTTAATTACATAATTTGTATAAATTTCCTCATAATCAAATATAGCTACTATATTTAAATAGAAAAAAGTTTTTTTTTTATAAAAAATCCAAAATGATTTTGTTTTATATGAGGTAGCGTAACGAAGATTATCCAATAAAGCTATGCTTGGGCAAGCTGTTTCGGAGAGATTGGTAGTTTAAATGCCTTACTAATAAACAATTTTTGTCCATAACAAACAACTCAATTATTGAATTCCAAAATTTTATATGCATGAGGATATCTCGATTAATGTCCGTGTGAATCAGAACTAATATAAATGTTAATATCTAATCAATTTCGATAACAAGCAATAGATAAAATCTTAAGGAAATATCTTTGTAAAAACTGAAATATGACTAATCTATAACATTTAACATGGTAAATTCTTTCCAAAATATATATAAAAAATATTGAATATCAATTTGTAAGTGAACTTATAACAAATTATGAGATCCATAACTAGTCTGGTTAAATTGATCTCTAAATTGTTTTCCTAAGAAGTTCTTCTAACTTATCCAATCTCTTTTTTGTTTGTCTCTGTTTGTATTCCTTGTGTTTTTGTGATATATCCTCTAGTTCTGATCGAATTTCTTTTAGATTTGATGTATATTTCGATTTTAATTTTTTCAATAATTCTTTATCCATATCACATTGAGCACTAACAGATGTATATAAATTACGAAGTTCTGCAATTGTAATTGATACTGGTGGTGATATTTCGAGTTCGACTACATTATCAGAACCGTTATCTAGTTGTCTTCGAACTTCTTGATGAAAAACAATTGATGTAAGAGGTAAATTACACCTTTCGAGTGCATTCTTTGCAGCAATTAAATTTCGTTTTGATGTCAACTTATTATCTCCGTGTTTTTCAAGATATTTCTCAATATCTTGTGCAAATTGAAGAACTGTTCTTTGGTCTTCTGTTTCGAATCCGTTTACATTATCAAATTCGGACTTCTTAGGTGATTTATCTGAATTTGTCATTTCTTGATAAATGAATTAAAAAGTGACAAAAGATTTTCATTATTTTTTTGAAAGGTTTACATAACAAATTACAATTTTGCATTTTTTACTCTTCACCTGCAGCATCTTCTTCCTCTTCCTCGATAATAATTTCCTCTTCTTCATCATCCTCTTCCTCCTCTTCTTCCTCTTCGTTTTCTTCCTTTTCTGGCTCTTTTTCTTCGATTTCATTTTGAATTTCTTCCTCTTCAGCAAATTCCTCTTCTTCTGGTAGATTATAAGTAACTGCTGATGGTGTAGGTTCAACTTTGGACTCTTTCCTTGATGGAGTTTTCTGATTTTGTTCAATTGGAGTTGGTTGCTGTTGTTTCTTAGATGCAGTGGATGATTTAGCTTTTGGAGGCTGTATAACGATTTGGTCGTCATCTTCTGGCTTATTTTGGATCTTTCCTTTCTTCTTTCCGTAGCCTTGGCGAAATGCTTCAGTATCGTAAGCGAAATACGGCTTGCCTATGTCGCGTGACTTAATTCCAAGCGATGTAAATGATGTATCTTGTTGTGGTTTCCATGTTGGCTTCAAAATATTTCTCATTCTTTCTTCCAATGATGGTTTTTGATTAATTCCACCAATTGGCTCGTAATGTTTTGGTCTGTGATCTTTGTGCGAGTGTTTGTGAGAATGAGAATGGCTTGAAGATTGCAAATTAACGTCTCTAGCGGCAATTTGGTTGTGGTGAGCATGGCTATGGCTATGCCCATTCTTTTTGCGTAAGTCTTTTGCTTCTGATACGTCTTGATTTTCTCCTGATAAAGAATCTTGATATTCTTTGTATTCTTTTGGCATTATTTTGCGAGCGATTGTAGGGCGAGTGCTGCCGATGAGTTGAACGAAAAAGTCTAAATTCGGATTAAATTTAAATGTTCTTTGAAGTGGATACATTTCTTTTTGACTGGAAACTTTACCTCCTGACTCTAATTTCGCTGTGAATAATGTTTTCTCCATTCCATTTTTCATTAAAAAGTTGCTAACGAATTGAGCGCCAGAAATTAATTCTGGAGTATCGCGAATTACAACTGCGTGACTTTCTTTTAACTGAATAGATGCTTTGTGCATCACTTGAGCAGCAATTGTGTTAAGAAAAATTGCGCGAATGTCGTCATACCCTTGTGGTTTTTTTGATGTAGATGATATTTCAGAATCCATTCCCTTTACAAAAAAGTGACAACTTAACGTTTTTGGTTAATCTGAGCTAAGGATTTCTCTTCTCAACGCATGAATTGATGCATATAGACCATATATGTCAAAACTAGTGATACTATTAGTTTATGATATACCCCCATACTTTACGTAATTTTCTGACAGCCAGACCTTTTCAAAAATGGTCCTTGGGATAAAATTTTTTCAGAGGAAAATTTTGTTTCTGGTATCATCTACAAGAAAAAAAAAGGTAGTGGGGCTTCCAGGCACTTCGTGCCCTCTAGCCCCGAAGATGTTTAGTATAAATGAAGTTTTTATTCGGAAAATTGTTAGTCTTCTGGTGTGAATTCGGAGGACTCTTCTTCTTCCTCCATTGCTTCTGGGAAGAAGCCTTCTTCTGGGTCGAAAACATTATATAATGTGTCGCTTTTCACAAATTATATATGTTTTCATGCTTTGTCACTTTTCTGTCACTTTTCGGGTAAAAACATTTTTATTATTATATATAAATGAATTTTACAAAACCACCGTTACCGTTCTTTGGAAATAAGAGTAGATGTAAAGATATTATATTGAGAGAACTTAAGAAACTACCGAATGGTCTAACATTTGTAGATTTGTTCGGTGGAAGTTTCTATATATCCCATTTGTGCCATACAATATTCCCAGACTCAAAGATTATATGCAATGACTTCGACAACTATATGGACCGTCTCAAACATATTCCAGACACAAACAATATATTGAAAGAGTTAAAAGAAAAGATACCTATAGGTAAGATGGAACGTATACCATTAGATAAGAAAAATATTGTGAGAGAGGTTTTGAAAAAAGCAGAATATATAGACTGGGATAGTATATCTGCTAGACTATTATATAGTGGTTCTATAAGAGTTCATGACATTGAAACACTTATGTCAAAAGTTTTATATCTTAACTATACAAATGTTTTCAAAGAGGACATAGAAAAATATATTGAGGGTATAGAGTTTGTGAGATGTCATTGGACAGATTTGTATGAAAAATATAAAGACAAGGAAAATGTTTTCTTTATAGTGGACCCGCCGTTCTATAACACATGGGATTTTCAATACCAAGTAGACTGGACTTTGAGAGACTCTTTAGAAACTTTAGACGTTTTACATAACCATCCATGCTTTTACTTTACATCCGATAAAAGTGGTTTGGAAACCGTTATGAGATGGTTAGAGGACATACATGACTATGAGTTTAGATATGACAAGATAGAATATGAGAGAGGTCCTATAAACTGGAGAAAGTGTCACAATAAAGAAATTTTATTAGTAAGTAAATGTGGTTTGAAATAGGACTACTTGTTTTAGGTTTTTTCCATTGTGTCATTTATTCTTTGACGTGGCAGAAAGATATAGAGAATATGAAGATGAACCAATGCCTGCAAATGTTCAGTATATGTACTCGTAAGAGATATTTTTATCTAATATTAAATGGACGCACAGAACTTAGCGAATGCACAGCAACCTGGACAACCAAACCCAGAGAATATTCCAAATGAAGTTAGAATACAAACTGCAATGGCAAACTATGGTCAAGTGCCAACAGATGTACAAATGCAAACTGCCATGTCAAATGACGCTGCGTTAGGTTTGCCACCATGGTATGCAAATATGAGATGGAAAGAGTTTTATACAAACCCTGAAGTGGGATATAAACAACTTTATGCAGATGACGCGAACACAGGAGTTGACCCAGAATATGTTTTCTACCAGAGGAGAAACAGAATGTATGAGCTCCAGTTAAAGAATGCTATGGAACTCAACAGGAAACGTAAGAGACTAGGCGGACATTAGATTTTTACATATAGTAAAATGGGTTTCTTCAGTAAGATAGGAAACTTCTTTCGAAATGTTGGAAGAGGTATATGGAATGGAATAAAAACCGTAGGAAGAGGAATTTGGAACGGAGTCAAAAATATTGGTAAAAGAGTAGGTCAGTTTGTTGGTATTATACCTAAAGACCCTGAACCAGAAGAACAAGCTCCTGTTATACAACAGCCTGAACCTGCACCACAGTCTAGTTGGCAACCAAATCCAACACCTCAACCGTATTAAAAAATTATATTTTTACCGTTCGATAGTAGTTGTATATGAAACTAAGTTCTAAGTAAAAACGCATGGTATAATGGAATTATTCTTTTTCTTCCATCTGTAGTAAACCATACTTGAAAGTCTGAAATACTTCCACTTGGTGGTTTGTATAACTTTGTAGGTTTTTCGTAAAAGTCATTTGCCAAGCATAAGAAAGAGTTTTGGCGCGCCAGAAAATGAAGCATGAACAATAATAGCAGCTGGGTCGAAAACATTTTCATATGTTCCATTAGGGTTTTCGACTTCATAAAAGTCTGGTGTACTGGATATGCTGCAGGCTGATTTAACATCCTCATAAATCTATACCATGCCAAGTTGTTATATTTTGTAGAAATATAAACGTTTTCTCCAAGGTCTTCTATTTTATTGATTTTAACAGTTGCATTTTTCCTGTCATAAATAATATCGAGATGGTACTCTCCCTCGTCAATGTTATACTGGTTTGCATATTCGATATAGATATCGTTTATTTTTTCTTGAAAAGCTTGAAGAGTTGTTTCTAAGTTTACAAGCAAACTAACTTGTAAAAGTTTTCCCTGTTCAAATTTCTCATACATACGTTTCTCTTTGTTATAGTATCGAACTTCAAACCGACCGTAAATGGGAAACCATGTATGGCTTCTGAAATGAACTTCATTCTACGAAAGCCAATAGCTTTTGTGACAGATGGGTCTCTTAACCATCTTAATGGGTAGTCAAAACGATAGCCTTCATGCTTTACGTCTCTGTCTCAAACTTTTGACCGACATTAGTAAAAAGTTCATCTAATGGTTTAGTTGTAGCAACTCTTGAATTTTCTTTTTCTATTGAAAGCATATTTTATCTAGAATAAAAATGTCGAAAGATATTGCTTCCATAAGAGAAATACAACACAACCGACAACTCATTATGCAAGCTCTAAATAAGAACACAACAAACTTTTCAAACTATTCTAAGATATCTGAGTCATTGAAAGAAGGAAACTTAAAACTGACATTAAACCCAATGACAGATGAGTTTCTATTTCAAGACAAAAGAACCATACTGTCTGTATAAATCCAACAAAAGGAACTTTAAACGAGAAAAACCTATAAATGAACTTCTTTTGAAAGCAGATGTTGACAACAAAGCTGACAAAGAATATGTAGACGATGCAATAGCAAAAGAAGAAGAAAGAGCTAACAATGCTTATGCAACAAAAGAACATACTCATCCTGAACTAGCAGACAAAACATATTTGACAATAAAATGTCAAGTGAAGTGACAAGAGCTGAAAACGAATATTCTAAAAAGACTCATACACATTCTATATCTGAAATAACAGACTTAAACGTTAGCCTTGAAAAGAAAGCAGATAAGGAATATGTGGCTAGTAAGTTAGAGAAGAAAGCGGATAAGGAATATGTGGATGAAAAAGATAACGAAATGAAAGAAAGGGTTGACTGGTACCATGAATGGACATCGAAGATTTTAAAAACTAAAGCCGATACAGAGATGTTTTCAGGATGTTTAGACCTTAAAGCAGATAAAACTTATGTTAACGATGAGTTAGAGAAGAAAGCAAATAAGAACCATACACATACAAGTTTTACAACTGTTGCTATAGAAAGTATTGAAGGAACGGTTGAAGAAACTGGTGGGGGATGCATTATATGTAAACCTCCTACTTTCCACAAGGTTTAACATCGGATGACGACATAACGACGATGAGAAACATTAGATGGTAAAGATGTTTATGTCATGAAGGATGAATATAATATTAAATTCACTGCTCAAGATTTATATGACAAGAAAGCAGACAAAACAGAGCTTCAAACATTAAAGACAGAAATACTTCAAACATTATAATCCTATAGGCTCTATTTATACGTCAATGAACTCTACCAGACCAGAAACAGTTCTGGGTTTTGGAACTTGGACTCAAATAGTCGACAGGTTTTTGTATTGTGCAAACTCTTCAAAGGAAACAGGTGGAAGTAAAACGATTTCAGGTGAAAATTTACCTGCACACAGTCACTACATAGATTTAAGTACATCTCAGCAGGTTGGCATAAGCATAGATATTAGGATTGGTCAGGAATGACAAAAGGTAAAGGATATATGAGTTAAAGACAACGTTAAGTTTGCTATAGATGTACTGGAGTAACACTGAGGAGGAGGAAACCATACACATCGCGTTTCGGGATATACGCAAACAACGGGACAAAGTAAAGACTACATGCCACCTTACATGAACAGTTTACGCATGGTATAGAAATGCTTAGTCGTCATTTTCAACTTCTTTAGCATATTCGTCAGGAGTTGTCTTATATTTGTTAGGAACTGTCTTTGAAAGTATACCACCTTGAACTTTGACAAGTTTGAAACGAGGTCTGACAATAGTCGTTTTATCTTCTGCTTGCAGTGTGTACATTTTGCCATGTTTGCCTAAAACTTCATAATATTCTCTTGTATACTTTCTTCTATTTTTACGAACACGAATGTGAGTACCTGTCGGGTTCCCATTGTTGTCATAGTCAATAGTATTTTCATATGGGTCGCGTTTAGGTATTTCTATTTTACTTTGTCACCTTTCTGAAGTTTGAAGCCCGGCATTCTTTCTTGTTTGTCTCTTTTGACTAAATTATTAAATATATAGTCTTTCTCTAAGTCAGGGTTGTTTTTCATTTCTTCAGGGAGTGGTTTCCCAAACCTTTTTTTTACGGCTATTGTAAATATTTAAAACTTGTCTCATTTTGCCATGGAGAAGTGTCTATATTTGTCGTCATATGACATTTCATTTGCTTCACCACCTTGTGGTTGGTTTAAGTCTCTTAACATTTTTATACAACCGTCAATGACACCAAGAGCAGAATGGTTTTGGTCGACAATGAAATATTGGTTTACATTTTTTGAACGCAG